TTTATAAATAACTCAAGGTGGTGAACATACCTAATACTTCTTCCTCCTCCTATTTTCCCCACAACAACAAACTTGTCAGGTGAGTTGGGCTGAGAGAGAGTGACTGGCCCAAGGTCACACAGCCAGTTTTCATTAATTTTCATTTCCATGAACATGTTTTATACTGAAACTGCTTTGACTGCTCTAACTTATGAACTCTACCATTCCAATGAATAGGAGGTCATCATCTTATGTGACAAAAAAGGTTTTCTCTTTATTGAGTGGAGTATTTATAACCTTAGGCTGTAAACAACATGTCCTCCACAACACTCTGCACTCTTTCAAAATACTCATGGAAAACCAGATTTAGCTTCCAGTATTCTTCAAAAGAGTTTGCTGTCCTTTACAATACAAAATCATTAACTGCCATTATAAAAACAACTTTGCAAAAGAAAAAAGAAAAAGAAAACATATTGGTAGATTTATCATTACCTGTTCTTTGATTACTATGGGTAAAGTCATAAATCCTTGGGATCTGTTGATTTCTGGAGATGTTTGTGTGGACTGGGACCGAAAATTCTTGTGTGTGCCAACTTCAGCATCCTGATCGCCTATACTACTGTGTGTCTTAGTCTTTGGTGCATCACTACTAACTGTTCGGTTGTCTGTTAATTAGAGAATTAAGAGGATTATATAAAGATACTGATATCAAGAACTCAATAAAATGCACCACATCAATATAACTATATCAAGAAAATGGAACTATAGCAGAAATTGATAAAGATATGAACACAGAAATATTTCCATTGCTTTCTTACCAATATTGTTGTTAAATGCTATTTAATATCAAGACAAATAGTAAGACTGTTACTATTACCAAATAGTAAAACTGAGATAAAACTATCTTCAAACTAAGTATTTTAAAAAGAAATGTTTTCAAAAAAACATACCTTTCTTCATCTGTTCTAACCCTCAATCCCTCTTCTAATCAATACAAGTAATCTAGATGGACTGCTACTTCTCACACATTTAAACAGATGAATTACTCAGATATTTTTCCATTGAAATGATTTTAAAGTTCTTAACTTCTGAACTGTATTCAGAGTGCATTTCATTTGTATATATTCTCAAAAAAAAAAACACACAAATGTATTAATGATGTACATTTGATTTGATAAATTCCTAAATTTGTCTATTTCACCTAGATTTATTGAGTTTTTAAGACAAAACCCTATTTTGTGTGAAGTTAACAGAACCAAATCTGGAATTCCCCAGTTAATTATTTACAATAATTTGTAAGCTATCTACTAAAATTTTGTGAGTATTTTGGTACTTCAGTAGCCTACAGAAAAGCAGATTGTGTGTTGGCAAAAAAGAAAAAAAAAGTTGCTTCTGTTTTTTTAAAACATGGACATAAGAGGGAGACGAGAATAGTGAATGAGAAATCTAACACAATAAAAAAGTCATATATTTTTAATTGCATTATTTAGATGTTACTCAATTTTGTATAATGTTTTGCTTACTTTATTCTGTGCTTTTTATTAAATACAGTATGTCTCATCTGAACAAAAGCGGGAAGAGAATAATTCTTTGTGATTGTTATTTACAATAATTTGTAAGCTATCTACTAAAATTTTGTGAGTATTTTGGTACTTCAGTAGCCTACAGAAAAGCAGATTGTGTGTTGGCAAAAAAGAAAAAAAAAGTTGCTTCTGTTTTTTTAAAACATGGAAAGTCATATATTTTTAATTGCATTATTTAGATGTTACTCAATTTTGTATAATGTTTTGCTTACTTTATTCTGTGCTTTTTATTAAATACAGTATGTCTCATCTGAACAAAAGCGGGAAAAGAATAATTCTTTGTGATTGTTGCTTGATTTATCCATCCATTCAATCTTTACTTCAGCTTTCCAGTACTAACATTTCTTTTCCGTATCTGTCCATTCACTGAACAGTCTATACTCACCCCCAATTAAAGGGGAGTAATTAGTAAAACCTCAAAACTGAATGGATTACACTTGCATAAAACAGTCTGCACTAATGCAGTGCAGTGTTGCAAACTGGTGCAGTCACCTGATGTTTCACCTAACAACTGCCTCACTTAGCGATGGAAATTCTGGTCCCAATTAAGTTTGCAAACAAGGACTACCTGTATATTTTAATACTTTAACATACTTCATGGTTGTCTCTCATCAAACATCTTTAAAAAAATAACAACAGCCAAAAATATAAAATGAATCATGCATGGACAGAACTTACAGAATCACCATAACTTTGAAATAAAAAGTTTTGTTCTGTTGGCTTTTCCCCCCTTGCTACTATTTGTTTATGTATTTTCCCCTTGCTACTATTTATTTATTTATTTATTTATTTATTTATATTTATTACTATGACAATGTTAAGATTAAAAAAAAATCTTA